GGTATCTAGATAGTGGATACTCAAGACATATGACTGGTGATAATACCCTGCTCTCAAACTACAAATATGAAGGAGGCACTTCCGTAAACTTTGGAGGAAACTAAAAAAGATATACCAAGGGCTTTGGTATATTAGTCAATGGTGCAACCACCTTCAAACGTGTTGCATATCTTGAACGATTGAAGCACAATCTTCTCAGCATCAGTCAACTGTGTGATAAAGATTTCATAGTGAAATTTCTGAAGAATACATGTTATGTCTTTGACAAATATGACAATCTTTCTCTAACAGGCTCTCATCAAGAGAATGTATACATCATTAACATAGATTATCCCTTTAGTGAGAATAGAGTTTTCTCTCAAAATCATCGTTAGATATCAACTGGCTGTGGCACAAATGACTTTTTCATCTCAACTTCAAAACATTGAATGAGCTGTCTAGAAAAGAACTCGTCATTGGCGTTCCTCAACACTCTTTTGCAAAGGAATCTCTTTGCTCAGGGTGTGAAAAAAATAAAGCAGACAAAGGCTAGTTTTAAATCAAAACAAGTCTCTTTCGTGACCTCTCCACTTCAGCTATTGCATATAGATTTATTTTGCCCTGTCAATGTATAATCCATAGCTGGAAAGAAATACACACTCGTTATTGTTGACGAGTTTTCCAGGTACACTTGGGTTTTCTTTCTCGGATCCAAGAGTGATGCATCTGAAGAAATTATCTCGTTCATAAAGCGCATAGAAGTACTGAACAACATCAAGGTGCGCTCTATAAGGAGTGATCATGGCACTAAATTCAAAAATAGTACCATTGATAACTTCCTTAAGAACAAGGGAATCTCACTCAACTTCTCAACTATGAGAACTCCACAACAGAACGGTGTCGCTAAAAGGAGAAATCGAACGATAATTGAAGTCGCTCGATCTATGCTCAGCGAGTCTCATCTCCCTACTCAATTCTGGGTAGAAGCTGTCAATACTGCATTTTTTACTCAAAATTGGTCGTTAATCGTTAAGAAATTCAACAAGACAACTTACAAACTTTTCCATAGCAGAAACCTTTTCTCAGCTTTCTTCCACTACAAGGAAAAAGGGCTTTAGAGAAGGAATTTTTAGAGAAGATTTTAGATGTGTATCTAAAGATATATTATAGAGAAGAAAATAAATGACAAAAGTGAAAAACGTAACTGAAGATAGAATGAATTTTAGAGAAATATTTCAAGCTAAATCATACATTACCAAAATTGTCTCTAAAAACTTCGGAGAGTTTTTTTTTAATAAAAAGCTTCTAAAAAACATGAGAAGGGGCTTTAGGGACGCTTTTTAAAATAAAAACCTTCCCTGAAGTCTTTGTTTTAATTATTTATCAATTTTATTAGAAAAATACAATTTTTTTTATAACACATCGCTCCCATCTCTGGACTCTCTCTCTCTCTCCCCGTCGCCTTCGTCGTTCCTCTACCGATTTCGCCGTCGCCATCATCAAATTCTCTACCTATTTCGCCATCGCCTCCGTCGATTTCTCAGCCGAGGTCCCGTCATCGTGTCTCATTATCAATTTGGTTTCGTTTATATACATAAATCGGGTATGTATTCTGCCCTAATCTGGTTCTGTCTTTCTAGCATAACCTGCTTCTTCATGGTCTGATTCTCCATTCGGTTAGTTATTTCATGTATTTGTCGTTAGGTCGAATGCATTTCATAAGGTGAGCATATTTAGGTTTAACTTGTCTGTAGCATCCGATTGGAATTGAAAATTTCACTTACAGAACCATCCCCTTCCCAATCCCAATCCCAATCCTAATCCTATCTGCTTTATTGGTTGTAGTGATAGCAGTTTGTTTATACTTATTACTATAATATAACCTTGTAAATAATAGGCATGCTCGTTATGTTTTTGGTTATTACTCTGCATCTGGAAAGATCATATCCTCTGGTTGACTAAGTTTGCTATACTATTATAAAAAAACATCTATTATAGATGGTAGCAATCTGAAGCTGTATGAAGCTGAATGTCACAGTATGAATGTATCACATCACATTTGCCCATATAGAAATTCAAAAAGGTTCCCTTTTTGTTTAATAATATAGTCTGTATCACTATTTTAAATACTTTGCACTTTTTTGAGCCATGTCAATTGTCAACAGCATACACACATATATTTCTTATTAAATAGAAGATTTACCTATGGTTCTCTTGCAGGTTCTGCAGTTGTTGCTTCAACATTGCAGCCTCTCTTTGCTAGAACTGTAAATATTGAGTAGACATTTTCAGGGACTTCTGTGCAATCATCATAACTAATTGAAAACATTATGCAATATAGTTTAACTRTGTACTCGTAGGCTAAGAGTAATCAGAACTTTCAGATTAGATTTCGGTGTAAAAATATTATTAGGAGAACTTTCAGTGGTAGGAAGAAGGGATGAAGCATTTAGAAACTTTACTTATGTTTCAACCACCTACAATGAAACTGGAAAATTACTGTAAGTTCAATTGGGTTATAAATCTGGCWTCAAAATGATCAAAAGCTCTTTAGTTAAGGAGAATAGCATTTCAATCGTTTGTTGTCAAAACTAGTCATGTTTTAAAAAGATTGTGCTTCTAGATGGTATCWTGGTTGCTTATAAACTTGTACTCCGAGGTTTTGTCTGCATTTTATCCTGCCATTTGAATTAGATTTTATGCTATGATGTTGTCACGCATTAGAAGGTAATGGTTGGAGAACTTTTTTATATCCAGCAAGAGCCTATCAGAGGTCACAGCAGTCCCATTGAYAGGTGGACAAATTCTTCTYTTTCTTGATGGATCATCTTTTAGGCAATTTTCAGATGCTTTTTGGTCGAATTTCTTATTTCTGTTTCTGTAATCTCAATTTTGCATCGATATAGATAGTGTTGTTATCTCTGCTGGTACCAACTGTTGCATTGGAGGCTATGGGTTATGGATACATGGGGTAGAAGGTGTGATTAGTTTTGACTTGCTGCTGCTCCTTCAAAGTTTTGCAGATCAGAATTCATTACCTTGAATTGTTGTACACTTGGTCTTGCATATTAGATAATCTTAGATGCCCTTTATCTCTCGCACCAACTCACACACAAATGGTTTCAATTTGTTTTTGAAATCTTGTCAACATGAACTTTTGAAGATTGACTGTCTCGAATTGTGATTTTAGGGTYTTGCATGTTTAAGGGTCATTGATGATAAAAGCTCATATACATTATTGTAACTTTAACCTGGCCTTGTTAAGGATTTGATTTGCAAATAACAGGCACCATAAGATGTTATCCGGACAACCCAGTCAGTCTACCCTTTACACATAAAGAATACGAGAACTTTCAGGATCCTTTTTCTTAATTTTTCAGGTATGAGTGCTGCAATTTCATTGGTATCAGCTATCTATTTCTTCTTGCATTTAAAATATCAGTCCTGTTGAAATTATATGACCATCGGTATCGTCATCTCCATCGATGTACCTGTCCTCGCTGCTGCTTGGTTCAAATAATTTTTCTTTGATGTTCTTAGGTTTTGATCTTCGATTTGATATGGTTACTTTTGTGTAATTGATGATCTAGATCTTTTTTCTAATGTTTTGCAGGGGAATTTACATTACATTCAATTAGGATTGATCCAAAATGGATGTTTAAATCCCCAACATTACCTCCCAAAATCTTATCAGGTTCTTTTTTCCACTCCCAGGGTTTAGTTGTTGTATTGTTTTGATACGATTTTTGGTTATCTATGATCTTAATCTTTCACTTGATTTGCTGAAGAAATTGTTTTGTTCCTTGTGATATTCTTTTGTTGATGGTTTTGGTCACGCTATATGATGTATCTTAGCTTGAAACTTTGCATGTATCTTATAATTTCATGAAATTGCAACGGTATATGGAGCCTGAAATAATGTCTACATTGAATGGCATAGAGTTGTTTTAGAGAAAAAGAATCAACTCTTCTCAATGGCCTTCGGTGCCGGACTCTTCGACTGGTAGCAACAAATATGTTTGCTCGCTTTGTGGAATTGTTACAACCARTTACTAATGTATTTGCCATATGATGCTAAAAAGCTTACCAATTATTTGATGCATTTGATTTAAAATAAATTTAATCTCTACATCTATCAGCAAGAGTTGACCTATGTATTTTGTCAGTAGTGTCAGGAATTACAAGGACAACTCAAATTAGGATGAATTGATCAACAAAGTGCAAAAGACTAAAAAGATGAATGTTTAAAGTCTTCAAAATAAGCCGCAAAATAGATTTCTNGACAACTCAAATTAGGATGAATTGATCAACAAAGTGCAAAAGACTAAAAAGATGAATGTTTAAAGTCTTCAAAATAAGCCGCAAAATAGATTTCTGGCTTTAAAACTGGCTGCCCACTTGCAACCTTTTACTTTTTATAAACTCTTTATGTTAACATCCTAAGCAAAAATAGAAAATATGTGCCTGCAGTAAGTACTTCATGAAAGATAACAKAAAATATGTGCCTGCAGTGTAAAATATTTACCCAGGCTCYAAAGATGCTCTAAATGAAGACTAGCAAAAATAGTATGGAAACAGTTCACCAGTAAGCTATACTACATTAATAAGCATTTAGACCTATATCTTAATTAGAAATCATAAAGCACAAAGTACTACCATTTTATGCTTAGAATCTAGGATTTGCAGGGTATAGATATCGATGAAAGAACTTGGATAATGTGAATACCTATTTCCTAGTTGTTGATTTTCATTTGATGGGTTATGGTGATATAAAATCCCCTTGTGGCCAAGGAGGTTCAAATGCGGTGACTCCGGGCTATCCACTTCGCTGCCAACTATTCAATTACCAATAGCATTTATTATAGGCTTAGATTTCCAATAGACTTCGGGTGTTGGTTCTCTTGATATGAAAAATATAGCATCTCTATACTTGTTGATAAATGGATTAATTCTGATCTTATAGATAATGATTGGTAGTTTAATAACCTATAGTTTGTTTTGTATTTATGCCAAGGGATCTAACCACATTCATGTGTTCTTTCTCCCGTTTGTTTTGTTCGTATTGCATTGTAGGCGTACGAAATGCAATTTGAGTCCTGATCAACATCTGGAAAAGAGAGGCATCACCACCATGCCATCATTCTAATTTAAAGTTAGGGGMTGTTTACCTAAATCTTTTTATCTTATAATTCTTAAATTGTAAGTCTTGGCCGATGCTTTTTGAGTATTCTTGGACTGTGGTTGTTGAAATCATTACACACTTTTTACTGTTCGATTTTGTTTTGGAACAAACTAATACTTTGACTAATGTTTTACCATTGTTTTTCTTCAGGTTTTAAGCAAGTGTGATTATGATGGCATTGTTGCTCATATATTCTGTCTGAGGAGGCTGTCGACTTTGTATAAAAAGGATAACTGCAGGTTTAATACATTCTTCTGCTTTATGACGCGTAAATAGGAAAATGTTAAACTTGAAATTATATGTAGGTTTTAAATATTCATTTTGCTAATAAAATGTTCTGATGGCTTATTGACTTGTTGTAGATAAAGAGGGAAATTGTCACAGTTAGCGGTTCACATGAAATTATTGCATTATGGCTAACACCTTTGCAGACCACTTGCAATCAGACGAGGCTTCGTCATCTGTGCAAAGTAACAAACATGGTTCTACTCGGACAGACTATAAAAAAGTTAGAAAAGAGATGTCATGTGATAGATAGAGTATCAAGTTTTGCGAGGATTTTAGGGAGGATGTTAGAAAATGGATTTATACATTGATTGAATGTTGGGGAATGTTTTGAGAACTTATTTTTTTTATATATTATAAATTTATATCAATTTATTGCTTTGAGATTTTTATGTTGTTTTTGTTGATTAATATAATATATAATTATATACAAATATAGATCTTAAATATGGATGAAAAATAATAATAACATGCCCTTTAGAGAAGGAATTGATCTTT